AACTTTAGGTACCCTCAGATTCAATCTGAATACACAATCACTTAAGCAACTGAGCCAGTTTTTCCAACTTGCTCCTCACGTGCTTGGAGAAACAAGTATTTCATTCACCACTGAGAGCACCATTCTAAGGGTTATAAAGCTGTGGTGTAACATTATGTCACATGTAAGGGGGATAAGGAGATGTAATATTATGTCTCTTTGTCTTTTTTCTACATCCAGAATCTCCTCTTCATTCTGCTAGCCCTGATCTGACCACAAACTGGAATCCCAACAACTCTCAACGGCCTCTGAAAAATCTGACCTAATTATAAACCCCCATCTCCAACTTGTACAGAGATTAAGTATGGTGACTAAGGAGAAAGAGCCCCGTTACAAAAACTCAGCTATAGCGGCGAATGATGGTTACAAGTTTCCACAGGCCTATCCCGAGGTTGCTGTTCAGCACCAAATGCCCAGGCGGATGTTAATTTGCCTGGATCCTCAAGGTGCTCATCTGCGCCACCTAAAGGCCTCATGAGAAGTTGTCTTCCGTTAAAGGAATTTAAAACAGTACTAAAGAAGTTAGTCCAGACAGATGAAAAGATAAAGATTTCATAAAACCGAAGTGCAATTCCACATGTGCTTAAGAGACAGGAAGCTGTAAGAGGAAGGAGTTTCCACTCGGACAAGAGAAAGCTGGATGATCTACCGAATCATTCCTCTTTTGAGCCCAACAGAGAGCTGAGATTGCAAGACCACTGGGTAGACTGAAGTCCAAAAGCCCAGTAAAGCACTCCAGGGAGGGACGTACACATGAACCATTTCCTGTCTGGCAGAGAGTGAAAAGGAAAGACAGCAGCCACAGAAGTTGTGAAGGAGAAAATAACTGCAATTTTAACCCTGTCTTACAAGCCAAAGCTATCGTTGACAGTTTACAATCCCAGAGGCTCCTATGTAAGGTGGGGTTTTTGCCTATCTTTCAGGATTTTTTTCTTTTCCAAGATTTTATTTATTTACTTGATAAAGAGACGGGGAGAGGGACAGAGGAGAAGCAGACTCTCCGCTGAGCAGGGCACCCAATGTGGGGCTCCAGCCCAGGACCCTGGGATCATGACCTGAGTCAAAGGCAGATTACTTAACCGACTGAGCCACCCGGGCACCCCATCAGCTGTTTTGCCTCAGGCTTCTGCCAAGGGTTCTTACTGCCTCTGGAAAATCTGACCTAATATAACCCCCAACTCCAACTAGAACAGGGCACAGCAAGGACTCTGGGGTGCCTCAGTGGTGTAGGCACAGAGACCAGGATCAGCTACCGCAGGCACAAAACCCAGTCACTTCTCTCATTTGTAAGAAAAGTCACCTACCATTGATGTTAGAGTGAGAAACCCTGCCAACCCTTGCTTCCAAGTATAGGTCAGCCTCAATAAGGGGGTGAAACGGGCTGGGGCAAGGGGCTGAGGAGAAAGAGAGTTGAGGAAGATGGGGAGAGATGAGAGGTGCAGCAGCAGAATGGGAGGAGAAGCAGAGAGAGGATGAGGAGGACTTACATTCCTGGGGCCCTTCTGTTCAGGACAGCCCCCCCCCACCACCACCACCACATCCCCATCTCTCACCTTGGGCTCTCAGACCCCACAAGGACACTCTCTCCACCCATCGCAGTTTCCAACCTCATTGCTCTCTCTTCCCCGCTCCTCCTCAGAGCCTGGTTCTCTGGCTTTCCCGGCCTTTCTGTGATCTCTCAACATCCTATCAACAGACTTCTTTCCTTTTGAAATCAGTCACAGTCCATTTCTGTTCCTTGCAGTCATAAAGCCTGACTCACTTCAAGCTTTTCTGGAGGAATACTTGGTGATGTTACGGCTCAACTTTTTCGTTTTCCAGAAGGCACTTTCATCTTCTCCTCCAACTTTGAGGAGAACACCTTCTTCTTCATAACAAAGTAGACCTTTTGCCTTCTGCCTCCATTCAAGCCTCATCCAGTCTCGAGGAACAAAATACCTCTTCCAGAGCACCAGGCATCTTTCGTTGTTTTTCAGGCAGCGGCTTTTTTCTTTCAATGTCAATTTTTTTTTTCTCTTCTGTGTACCGAGTAAGGGAAGGAATGGCTTTGGGATAAAATGAGGAGGTAAAGGGGAAATTAAGTACACAGATGGCTATTTTGAATGTAATGTGGATTTACATCTATTATGTGTATATTTAGTGTGGTGGTATTTTGTGTACCTAAGTCACGTACACACTGTAAGACACCTTGGGTACACATACCCTGTGGCCCAATCCTGGGTGCTCCTGGGTACATGGATATATGTTCGTTGTTTTGTTTTGTTTTTTAAGCGTGCAGTTTCCAGGTTATGATATATTGAGAAACCGGAATGGAACGGACTTGGCCAAACTCTCCGAAAACAGTCTTAAGAGTCAGAGCCCTGCCTTGTGGCTTTAATGGTAGCTGTTGATTTTGAGTCAACGCAAGCCAAGTTTGGTTTGGTTTGTCAGTGTTTGATGTTAATGTTAAACATGGCTGATTACTTTGTACTGTAGGTCTAACAAATACAGAAACAGAAACAGAAGAAAAGCTTACAACAACAGCAACAACAAAACCCAGAAGTGTATGGGGGAAGAAAAAAAAAAAAAAAAAGGGAAAATCCCCCTGCCTCCCAGTCCCACTCCACTGCTGACACACCTTTACCTATTACATGTAGGAGTCAGTTGGTGGCTTTGGAGGGTGAGGGGTGCTTTGTGACCAAGGGACCCAGGAAGTCCCAAGTCTTGCCTTTTCTCTGGGCAATGGGGAAAGTGTGAAGGCAAGGAAAAGCAAAGTAACTGTACTCTTCACAGAAATTTCACCTCTGGACAGAAAACTGGATAAAACTGGGGTAGAATCTGTGGTGTATGAACTCTTCCCTAACCCTAGGCCCAGAGTGGATTTCCCTTATTTTCTGAGATGGAAGTGACATGATAGAAGTCAACCAAAAGAGGCGGACAGAGAGAAAGCACGGCGGATGAGCACCGACGCGGGCCAACTGTAGTCTAGTCTAGTCCCCCCAGTACAGAGGACATACTTGGGACTGCCGGCGGGCGTGTGGAGGCTGGATCAGTACTTAGACACCTCTGGCGAGGGACAGCACACCACTTCTGTAGGGGTTCCATGGTGTAATGGTGAGCACTCTGGACTCTGAATCCAGCGATCCGAGTTCAAATCTCGGTGGGCCCTTTCCCTTTAAGGGGACAGGGTGGTTTTTTTAAAAACTCTTCAAGGGGCACAAGTGCCTTCCCGCTCTTCACCCCGCCCCCAATCCCGCGGAGGGAAACTCCCGGGACGTCGCCCCCCACCCCACGCCTGGACCCCACGCAGTCGCGTCCTCCGCGCTCCGCAGCCTCCTCAGGAACCCGGAACCCAGAAACTCGCATCTCAGAGTGGCCCCGGCTCTCATCCCCACCCCCACCCGGCGCCACGGACACTGCAGCCACAGCGGGGGCTCCGGGCCACTGGCGCCTCTCACCCCCACCCCCCACCCCCCACCCCGCCGTCTGTGACCACTAAATGCTGTACCCCGAGGGCGTCTCGCCGCGCGACCTGTCGTTGCACCGCTTGTCTTGTCCGGCAGGTTTTGCTGGAGGGTGCTGTGGTTCTGAGGTCGACGGTTCGGAGACCTCAACTGGAAGTGCACGGGCCTGTTTTTGAAGCAAGGCCTTGAATCCTTATTCCGCTTTTACAGAGCCAGTCGGCTGAGCTAATGTATTAACTTCTGAGATGCTTCCAGCCCAGGAGATTACAGTCATTCTGACCACAGAAAGCGTTACTTCACAGTCCCTGGCGGGTCCACAGCCACTGACCAATGATTCCTGGTGTAACTTTAATAAAATCAGTTTTCATCACGTCCAGTGTCTCTGCAGTGTTGCGCCCCAAGTAACGACCTACCAGTCAATGATTACAGGTAAAGTGCTTGCCTAATCTACAAATTTAAATGTGCTACTCACTGACTCCTTCGACAGGCCGATCTCATACCATAGTCCTCATTCCTGAGATAGGGAGGGGAGAGGGTAGGTAATCTGTTGCAGTCACTCTGAACACTTGAGCGAGCGGGATTTGAAAGCAGGAAATTGAACCGAAGATAGCCGGGCTCCAGAAGAGAAGCTCAGAGCCACTGGGTTTAAACTCCCTTTAATTTAGAAAGAAACAGTAGCATTACTCGACAGGAAGTTAAGCCTGTGTACTTCTTTTGGGAAAAAGGACCTAGGAAGACTCATGCCACAAGCAAGAAACTATCCTGCACAGGATAGCCACCCTTCGTAGAACCACTGCTTCTACAGATTCTCCAACTCGAACCCGTCTAATTCCGAAAACAAAACTTTCTCCTCCTTCTTCACCTTTTTAAGTAGACGCGCGCGTGGCTAATCCTAGTAAAACCTAAAACAACACAAAAAGCAAGGTAAAAGAATAAAACTCGCGCCCAAGTAGCCATACCGAAGCATACGAGCACTTCTCTAGCACACCCCACACTTTGCACGGGGGGAAAAGCCTTCTTCAATTACCTGTCTTTCAACCAGCCGAGAAACAGGGGAAAGCGCGAACGCAGTCCCCCACTACCACAAATTATGCAGTCGAGTTTCCCACATTTGGGGAAATCGCAGGGGTCAGCACATCCGGAGTGCAATGGATAAGCCTCGCCCTGGGAAAACCACCTTCGTGATCATGGTATCTCCCCTGCCAGGTAAGTATGACTTCCACCCCCTACGCCCCACACCAGCGGCACACGCCTTGCACTCTTCACACACGCCCACTTCTCTCCCCACCACTCTTGAGCCTCCCGACGCCTTCCACGCACGCAGCACAACGAACCTCCGTCAACCGCCCCGCACTCCTTCCCGGAGCCCCGGAGATCCCATTGTATTTAGGCGGCAGCGGTCGGAATCATCAGCCCCTGCGCTGCCCTATTTACATAGCACACGCCCTCTGTGTGGCGTCACAGGAGCACCTCCCTCCGGCGCACGCCCCGCCCCTGTCCTTGTCTCCCCTTTCCTTCCCACCCCGAAACCGTGCGGCGGGCGGGCGTGGGGTCTGAACCTCTGGCCTGCGGGGAACCTGTCTGGCAGGCTGTTCATGCCTCTATACCTTTCTTCAAAATAATGCCTTTCGGTGCGTAAAACAGAGCAAAGGAAAGGGGTTCCTTTTAGATCCAGTCAGTTTTAACTTTGTGATCCAGGATTTCAATTTCAATGGAAGTTTGTCCAGAGGCGCCTGGGTGGTGCAGTTAAGCACTGGATTCTTGGTTTCACTTCAGGTCTGGATCTGGGTGGGGGTGGTGGAATCAACCCCGAGCGGACTCGCGGCTCACCGCAGTCTGCCTGGAACTGTCTCCCGGTCTCCCCCTGTGCTCCGCGCCTTCCACCACCCCCTCCCCCCCGTGCATGCGCACTCTCCAATAGATAATTTTCTTTTTTTAAGATTTTTATTTATTTATTTGACAGAGAGATCACAAGCAGGCAGAGAGGCAGGCAGAGAGAGAGGAAAGGAAGCAGGCTCCCTGCTGAGCAGAGAGCCGGATGCGGGGCTCCAGCCGAGGACCCCGGGATCATGACCTGAGCCCAAGGCAGAGGCTTAACCCACTGAGCCACCCAGGTGCCCCTCCAACAGAATAATTTTTTAAAAAAATTAAAGCTATCCAGTACCCGAAAGCAGCTGAATTTATGAAACTAGAGACAACAGGTGACTGAAAACCAACGCTTCTGGGTTTTTGTGTTGTTTTGTTCTGACAGAAACAGAGAGCTAGAGCAGGAACACACGCAGGGGGAGTGGGAGCAGGAGGAGAAGCAGGCTTCCTGCCAAGCAGGGAGCGCGATATGGGGCTCGATTCCAGGACCCCGAGACAGACAGACGCATAACTACTGAGCCACCCAGGCGCCCCCGCCCAACCTTCCGTTTTCAGGGCTAGTGGCGCTCCAGCCTGGGAAACCCAACTGAAAGGCTATTAATTTTAACATTAAAAGTACATTCTATTCTGTTGCTCCTGTCACAATGTATTCATTGAAGGATTCTCCTCTGGAGACGGTAAAGGAAGTGTCTCTGGCCAGTCAGGGTAGGAGAGGACACGGCAACAGCGATTAGGTGTCAGTGGAGCCAGTGAACGTGAACGCTTGATCTAGGCCCCATTCCTTGAATCCTGGCAGCCAGACGCATTGTCCAGGCGGCAGTGACGAATACTTTCTGGGGAATCTGACCAGCCTTGTAACAGAAAGAGCATGTCCTCCTCTGTATTGCTTCTATTTCCCTTGCTGCTATGACCTATACCGTCAGAATACTGGCTTGCGTAGCTCTGCTTGTAGGCATCTGACAGCGAAGTTTTGCGAAGATTGCTTTTTACCTGACCTCCACCTCACCTGAGAAGGTAAGGAAGTAGGTACAGAAATGGCTATGCTATGTTTAAAGATTTGCAGGATCAACATGACCAGATTCCTGGACGCAAAGATCAGCTGACCAGGGACAAAAAACTTACAGGACCTTCCTCAGATGCCACACACACATCATCCAGCTCTTGACCCCCTCCCGCTTTCCTCTTGGGTAACATAAAAGAAACCTGAATTTCTTGCCAAGAGGAAATAGTTCTTTGGGTTAACAGTCTACCATCTCCGGGGCGCCTGGGTGGCTCAGTGGGTTAAAGCCGCCGCCTTCCGCTCGGGTCATGATTGAGCCCCGCATCGGGCTCTCTGCTTGGCGGGGAGCCTGCTCCCCCATCTCTCTGCCTGCTTCTCTGCCTACTTGTGATCTCGGTCTGTCAAACAAAAAATTTTTTAAATCTTAAAAAAAAAAAAAAAAGTCTGCCATCTCCTTGGTTTGCTGGCTTTCTGTATGAAGCCCCTTTCCCTGCCCCAGCATCTTGCCTCTTTACTGGCCTGGCATGGGGAGGGAGCCAGAGGAGCTTGGACTTGCGATCAGCCTGAGTGGAAAGACCTGGCACGGTCCTGTCAGGGAATGTGCAGGCACTGGTTAAAAATGCAAGGCCGACTTTTTGCTTTAGCTACTGCAGTAGGGGAGAGACTTCGGTATAAACCTGATGGCAACTCCCAAATACAGCAAAGACAACTGTGGGTCAGTGATTGGAAAATTACTCACAGAAACTTGGGTTAGACATCAACAGTGAGGGGATTCTTGCTGGGGCTGGGCCTGGAGGGCCGAGGACTAGGACTAATGCAGGAGGGCCGAGAGGAGCCCGAGTAAAGGAAAGCGGATGCTCTTTATTCAGAGCTTGCAGCTTGTGTTTTTGCAGAGACTGAAAGGCAGACAGAGGAGTGGGAGAGCTTCCTAGCAGAAAATGGGAAGGCTTCGTGTGTGCCGTGATTGGAGGCTGAGGGCACGGGTAAGCTACAGACAGGTGTTAACTTTAAAAATAAGTTATTTTCCCAGCAAAAATGGGCTTATTTGGAAACAGCAGAGAATTGCAAATTCAGGACATGCATGTTGTGGCAAAACCACAGGCAGGCTGAGTAAACAAAGGAGGGGGCTGTCCTTTTATGGAGGAGGAAGAAGTTGGGAGGGGTTGTTTTGAACAAAAATTCACTGGAGAAAAGCAAGAGTTCAGGGTGACGACGGCTTCTCACAGGCTGAGTTGGTGGGGGGTAGTCAGTTTCATGCAGGAGATACAATCCACATTCTTTTTCCTTTTGGGACCTGTCACTGTGAATTCTTTCCTGTTGAGAATTCTTCTGTTGGGAGTCTCCAACTGACAATTCTTCCTGTAATTGATGCTGGTGGTATGGCTCCCCCTTCTGGCCTCTATTTTAGTGAGGTTTCCCTTTATTATTTTTCACACCAACTGCATTTAGGTATCCTGTGAGATTGGTTGGGGCACACCGCACATCTGGCTCTCTCCGGTGGATCCCACGTGGGAAGCAGGAATGAGAACTACGGAAATTGTCAACTACCAAGTCCTGGCATCATGGATGGGTTTCTTAATATGCTCACACTGTTATCACGAAATGCCGCAGCCTGGGGGGCTTAAACAATAAAAGCAATTTATTTCTCACAGTTCTGGATGTTGGGAAGTCCCAGATTCAGGCGCCACCAATGTAGGGGTGGCCAAATAGGGCACCCCAACATATGCCACTCTGGCATAAGGATTATTTTGAGCTAAAAACATACTTGAAAAAGAGCAGACTCAAGAAGGGTGCTCTGACCTCCCTCCTCCTTCCTAAGAGGAGGAAGATAAAGCTCCCCTGTGAAAAGATGCCCTCCCTCTACCAGGAGGAAAGAAACGTTCTTGTTACCAGAGACAGGGAGTAGAGGCCGAGAGAAATCTCTGCAAATGGACCTTGTTAAAATAACCCTTATCTGTCTTTTGCCTCCTCCTATGTTTTGGTTACTTTTTCAAAATTTCTACTCTTGCTCAACCTAGTACGCAAGCACGTAGGCCTTAGCACTTTTGGGGTCTTTATTTTTCCTTGACCGCTTCCACATGCGTGTAAAATACGTCCGTGCTTTTCTCCTGTTAAGTCTGTTTTACAGCCAACTTAATTCTCAGGCCCAGTCAGAGACCCTAAAGGGAACCCAGGAAGAGTTTCGCCTCTTCTGCAGCTTCATTCTCAGGCGTCCTGTCTTGGCTTACATCAGCCCCCATCTCTCGCTGTGTGCTCGCTCAAAGGGCCTCCTTTTAGGAAGGGGGGGGGGGGCGCGGGGACGATGTTGAGGAAAACATATCCTGGCTTTTAACTTCCTCAAGTGTCAATCCAGGTTTAGTAGGGGGTGTGGCCACAGCACAGACCCGTCTTTCTGCAGCTGGAAGAGGATGGAGGGCTATTTCATTATCCAGAACAACTGTGGCCAGAGAGTTTACCGATCTTTGCCTGGCAGCTACTGCTTCACCAGCAGATTCTGTAATAACTTAAAGAAATTAAGAAGTTCCTGGGGTGCCTGGGTGGCTCAGTGGTTAAGCCTCTGCCTTTGGCTAAGGTCATGATCTCAGAATCCTGGGATCCAGCCCCACATCGAGCCCCACATCGGGCTCCCTGCTCAGCAGGGGAGCCTGCTTCCCTGCCTCCCTCTCTGCCTGCCTCTCTGCCTACTTGTGATCCCTCTCTCTGTCAAGTAAATAAATAAGTAAATAAAAATCTTTAAAAACTAAAGAAATTAAGAAGTTCCTGATCATCGCCTTATTTACTTTTATCCCTTACCAGGAAGAAGGGATCCGCCAACAGGAGTGAATCCCGAATCACAAAAGCCTCCTGGTAGGTCCTCTCTCACAATGTAAATGGCGATTCCACCAATGAGGTGCCTGCCTTCTTTTGCTTGTGAAAAGCTGGGGGCAGAATTACAGGGTTTTTTGTTTTGTTTTGTGTTTTGTGTTTTTTCCTAGCCTGAAATAAAAGGTTGTTCTAAATTCCGGAGGTTACCCCCACTTAGCAATGGCCTGGCAGGGGTCAAGATGAAGGTGTTCCTCTTTCCAGGCCAATGCCAGGGGAAAGGAAAGGAAAAGGAGGAGTAAGGGGTTCGTGATTAGTTCAAGTATGAAGTCTTGATCCATCGTCTGGGGCTGAAGCAGTCGATCTCCATGTCAGTTGCTTCTCTTCATCAGCCTGATTTGGAGGTCTCCAGCATCTGTGCCGACTCAAGTGTCACGTGCAACTTTTTTTTAGCTGTGTGATGTGGACCTGAGGATCAACGCTTCCTAGTTTTGCAGCAGTGTCTGTGGTCAGGAACACTTGGTAAGGTTCCTCTGCATGAGGCTCAAGGGCTGTCTCCCTCTGACAACACTTCCAGAATACCCAGTCATCAGGCCAGACAGACTGTGACTGACAGAATCCTTTGAACGCCCATCTGGGAAGGCTTCTTTAACCTGCGGACGACAGCCCTGAGCGAAGACACTACACACTTCCAGTAGCTGCTATTACTGACAAGGGAGAGAATTCCAAAAAGTCTGCAAGGTTTTCGTCAGGGTTTGTATTTGTCCAGGGATGTGGAGAACGTGGAAGGTATAATTCAAGTGGGAAACACACTTTCTAACAGTTTTTTCCACTACTGTGAGGACATCAGCCTTGCAGTAAGGATAAACCTCAGCCCATCTGGAAAACATATCATACAGTAACAAGAACATATTGATAAGCTCTACTACCAGGTGGCAACTGAATGAAGACCAGCTGCACGTGTTCGAAGGGTCCAGAGGGAGGTTTGAGGCTTCTAGAACAAAGGGAGTTTTCCCAGGGTTATAGACCGGACAGGTCAGACTTTGCTGGTAGACTGTTTTCTGTAACTTTATGTAAAATCTTTCCACCAATGTCTATTTATCATCTGAGTCCATTTAAATGTACTATGGTACGTTAGAGAGTACAAACCCCCAAAAATGGGGTTTGTTAGGGAGCCAGAAGAACCAAGTGACCACCTTGGTTTTCCACTGGCCCCAGCTGTTCCTTTAATTTACAGCCATTCTTTACCCACCTTAGTTTTTCCGATTCAGGAGCAGACTGCTTGCCATGGGCATAGGACATTTAATATGGCAAAAATCTGGCAACAAGGGGCCATTCTTTGCAGGACCACAATGGACATTATCCAAATGTATCATTATCTTTACAGAAATCTGTTGCTGTTGCCTTGTATGTCAGCCAGCTTGATCACGTATTAAAATTTCTCTCCAAAAAAAAAAAAAAATACACACACACACACACACACACACACACACGTATTTTACAAACCTACAACTTTCTTTTTACATTCAGATTTTGGGGGCGCCTGGCTGGCTCAGTCTGGGGAGCATGCAACTCTTGATCTTGGGGTTGTGAGCTTGATCCCCCCGTAGGGTAGAATTTAGTTAAAAAAAAAAAATTCTGATGTCGTCCTATGTTTTCCTTCTTAAAATTATCAGTCTCACTTTAGTCACTAACACAAAAGTACTTTCTTTTTCCCTCAACAAAAATGTATTTCCATCCCTCCTCCTTTTTCTTACCAAAACCACGTATTTCACTTTCCTTGCATATGGAAACATTTCCCTTATTATTTCCAGTAGTCTTAGTTACTTGTATCAGAATTTTTAACTCTTAGAAACCTTAATGTCTAGTCATAAGAAGCACTTGTGAACTATTATAGCAGTGAGGTAGGAAATTGAAGGGACTCCGTTTTAGAAATTCTAAGTGTCCATCTCTGCTGTTTTTCTGCTAGGCCCCATTTACGCACATTCCATCTTTTGCCCCTGAATCAGCCAAAGCAGCTATGTTCCCACTTCGAGGGGGACCAAGGAAGTTAATCATACTCTGAGTTCTGTCCTAGACCCCAAACACCTGTTAACACCTAAGAAGAGCCAGATCCCAAACATGGTTCAGGGTATTAGCTTCAAACCAACCTCTGCTACCTTCCCTAATTTATGCAGTAACACCTACTGTTCCCCTGACACCTCTGATTGGATCCTACCACACTCTTGAAGAAACACAACCCTACACCCTCTCCAATATAAACTGCTAGCCTCAAGGAGACTTATCCTTTCCTTTCCCAGTCTTCCAGCTACTTGGTCTGCTATTCTCCACCTGTCACTCACCCTATTTAGGAAACTCTGTTTTCATGTTCTCTGGCTTGTGTTTCATTTCTGTCCTGTGTCAAGTCAAGGACCCTCTTGGCTGGTCCTGCTCAGACCCAGTCTGCCTGTATCACGAGCTTCTTTAGATTTGCAAATTTCTGAGTATATTTTATAATTTCTAGAAGCACTTGCCTTTTTAAATTTTCTAGTGTGGCACTAACACACTTAAATATCTTTTAGTTTCTCTGTAATCAGAAGCCAAAAATTAATGTTTTAATATTCTGTCTTATTTGGAAATGAGCTAGATATTTAATAAATTTAACTTACCATTTAACTAACTTAGCGAAATTGTTAAGGTTTCAGATTGCCAAAAAGATTTGGGGAAACTACTTAAGCAGACTAGTAAATTCCAGTGAAATAGAAGTTTTATATTTAATGCTGGTAACGCTAAAGATGTGTCTGTTTTAATTAAGCCATCAACCTTAAACTAGTTTTTTAAATTTCTTTTTTTTAAAGATTTTACTTATTTGACAGACAGAGATCACAAGCAGGTGGGGGTGGAGGGGTGGGGGGGTGGGGGTGGGGGAGTAGGCAGCCTGCTGAGCAGGGAGCCCAATGCAGGGCTCAATCCCAGGACCCTGAGACCATTACCTAAGCCTAAGGCAGAGGCTTAACCCACTGAATCACCCAGGCACCCCTTAAACTAGCTTTTATTAATTCCGTATTTTCCCAGATCATACAAACTTAAAAGACACTTGGGTAGTTTCTTTTCCTTTCCTTTCCTTTTTTTTTTTTTTTTTTTTTTTTTAAATAGAGGAAGTGGGGGAAGGGGAGAGGGAGAGGGAGACAGAGAATCCATGCCTAGCTTGGAGCTTCATGCGGGGCTTATCTCACAAGACCTGAGCTGAAACCAAGAGCCAGATGCTTATAACTGACTGAGCCATTCAGGTGCCCCAGTTTTTCTTTCTTTCTGAGTTTTAGAGTGCCCAATCCTTACAAGCACTTGCCTTCAAACCAAATGAATGAAACTCTTTTACAAATTAATTTCAACAGTACCATCCAGGTAGAAAAATATTGACATTACAGTACACACACACACACACACACACGGGTGCAGAGACACTATGGTTACTTTGGTTTTTTTTGTTTTTTTTTTAAGATTTTATTTATTTGACAGACAGAAATCACAAGCAGGCAGAGGCAGGCAGAGAGAGGAAGCAGCAGGCTCCCCGCCCAGCAGAGAGCCCGATGCGGGGCTCGATCCCAGGATGCCGGGATCACGACCTGAGCCGAAGGCAGAGAGGCCTTAACCCACTGAGCCACCCAGGCGCCCCCACTTTGGTTTTTTTTTAAGGCCAACAATTTACAAGTCTTTTGGAGATAAACAGGGGAGGTTTGGGGATCAGTAAGGGAATAGGTGAATTCTGAATTGCCTCTCGAGCTAACTTCTGCAAAACTTATGTCAGATCAAGACAGCTGCTGTCACTTTCTGAAAGATTTGGGTTTTAAGTTAAATGACAACTTCGGCTGAGCCACCTATCCAACTATATTATCTGCTTTGTTTCTTTCCCTCCGGGTACAGTTTCAATTTTAAGTATTTCTGGCATTACCGAATAACCCTGCTTGGGTGTAAGCTGGGTCCCCAAAGAAGGTACAAAGGATATCACCTTTCCAAAATCCAAAATCACGCTGACAGCCAAAAGGAAACCCAAGTTGGACGCCCCAGGCCGACCAAACACCTAGCCCAGTAATGCAAAACGAGACAAACAAGAAGACAATAGCTATCCCAGGGAGAGAAAGGATCAATATAATGGGCTTGGATCCGAAAAGAAAGGGACAATGTGAAATTTTTTTCTCTCTCTCAACTGGGTGCTGCAGAAAGAAATTCAGAACTGATTCTGGTGAGAGTTTCCACCCTTCACTGGCTTCTGCCAGTTTTTCCAGGATCCCCTGTGCAGGCTCTGGTATTTACCAGAGTTACCCCTTGTCTGGTTAAAGGAATAATACAGCAGTTTACCAGAGAATCTCTTGTTTTCATCAACTCTGGGAGAGGCCCATGTGGGCCCTCTCTTGAAGGTAGGTATGGAATTGTCTGTAAGGCCATCGGCTTGGGAGGACTTTTGTTTACAGCTGTGTCATCTCTTCAGAGTAGAAAAACAATTCAGAGGATTATATCGGAATGGATACTCAGACGACAGAGGGGATCAAGAGGAGTTACATCAAAGTTATAGTCTTTTAATTCTCCATGAGCCTTTTGCAATGAATCTTTCAATAAACTGCAAGGCATCTGGAGGCTTTGGCTCGCCAACTGAAACAGGTATCTCATTCTGTTTAAATTTGAAAGCCCTTACTTAAATTTTAAATACACTTCTTAACTTATCTTAGGTACTTGCAATGTCCCGCATCATGGCCATTGTAATTCCAAGTTGTATTTCGAGTAAAACTCTGCCGTCTCTGTAGTTATTCACAGCTCCTGGCCCCACAAGTTTTTCAACACAAAGCAAGCCGGCTGGCCAGAAGGTGGCGCGCTTGACTCTACAATTTCAGAATCCCATTACCTAAGCCTCTGTTCACACAAGACAAGACAGAGAAGGGCACCTCAACACAACAGCAGTAACCAAAAGATGTTACTGGCAAAAAGAAGTCCCCGCATACCACCAGCAATTCCCAGCATGGACTCAACCAGCAGGCTTCGGTACATGGAGAGTGGGCAGGAAATGAGGAAAGGACCAACCAGCAAATCTGAGTAAATGGAAACCATGGACTGCAAATGGGGAAAGGACCCCAACAAGGAACTACAGAGCAGACTGAACCAAGGGCTAAGGACTGCAGCTCTCTCAGAGCCTCCCGTCCGTCTTGTCTACGCCCATTACCCCTGGACTGAGAAGCCAATTAGATCAGTAGCTCCAATGCAGAAAAAGAGGGGAGCTCAAACCAAGAGAATCTTACCAATAGTCCTTGGAAAGAGCAAGACAGAGCGAGCTCAGGAGGCACCATGCCTGCTTTTCATTATCCGTGAAAGCCACTAGGAGTTCACTTTGAATTCCTATGTTGCACCAATTCTTAAAAATACCAAACCCATGAAATCTGAAGCTCTGATTGGCTTTATTAAATGAGTCACAAATCAGGCAGCATCCCATCTAGCAAGTACAGGGGAACTCTGCTGAGTTTACAGAGAGCAAAGGTTTTTAAAGACACACAGAGGGCTTAAAAATAAAAGAAGAAAGGAATTTGTGAGCCAGAATGCATAGTTTAGGCAAGGTTGCCCTCAGAGGGGGAGGAGTGGGGGTCTATCAGTGAAGTTCCTACTACTGACCAAGAATTCCATGTTGACTAGTCAAAGGTGACATTTCTGGGAGGCTGAAACTGCAGTTAGGTTAAGTAGTAAGTGTTTTCTTACTGGGTTGGGGTCTTTTTAAGTGGTACCATCTGGGGCCTGGTTTTCTTTTTAACCTACTGTTGCCAGGTGAACTGGGGAGACACCGGACCCTGAGGCCTCAATCCAGCCAGTCCTGAAGAGAGGGAGAGGAGGAGAGAAAGGGAGAGGGACAGGGAGAGCTAGAGCAAGAGGGAGCTGGATGGTGGGGGGCGGGGGGGGAGGTAGGGTGTCTTTCACTGATGATCGATATCAACAAGCTTATTACCTTGCGGTGGGAGACTGGGTTTCCTTTTTTTTTTTTTTTTTTCTTCTTAATTTGGTCAAGGGTTTCCTGTCCTGGCACTGGCCACCTTGGGCCTGTCTGGTTTGATCCAGCTTTTTGTGGAGTGCTGCCCAGACAGGCCTCTGACCTCCCAGATAGCTGGTGATGACTTCCTCATTGCTGACCTCCAGCTATCCCGTCTGAACCCAACTGACCGCCTACTCTAACAATACCAAAACCAGACAAATGATCCAGGATGTTGAACTGGTCTGGGCTGTTGACCAACTCAAAAAGCTACCATGTTAGAATTACAGAAGGAAGAAACAGGACTACAGAAATTATGAAAATTTATAAACCTCCACAGAGACTGAAGGCAACGGCGAACTGGTGTGTGCAGGTGGTTGATGTTCAGAGGGAGCAGAGCCACAAGATGGAGAAAATCATTTAGGTTCTGACCTTGCATCTCACTCCCATGGCACTGGCTCAATCATTTCTTATCCCTTCAAGAAAGGAATTACTAGCAGCACTTACTCTATTTGCCAATGTGGCGTGCAGTTTGATATCTGGGACCCGCATAAGCTTTGTCGAGTGAAACAGGTGTAGACACGCCTGATGATCCCTGGGTGTTCTTTTTTTTTTTTTTTTTTTTTTAAACTAAAACGATGGTTTTTAATGGGAACCAGAGGTACGGTTACAATTACATAGTCCGACACAAAAAACCCGTGGGTGATCAGGAGTTGGAAGGTTACAAAATAATGAGGGTAACACTGGGTACAAGAAGAAAAGCTGTAGCAGAACCTCAGGAGCCAAGCTAATACGGCCTCTCCCTGCGATCCTGTCTGTGCTCACCCCTGGAGTCCATCTTGCCAGGGCCAAAGCCACCTCTGTCCCCACCACCCCGGCCCCCTCGGAAGCCCCCACGGTCCCCGCCTCGGCCTCGGTAGCCGCCCCGATCATAGCCTCCTCTTCCACCACGACGATCATCTCCATAGTTACCCCCCATGTGAGAGCCTCCTGGTCCCCCTCCTGGGCCATCTGGTTTAGGGGCCTTACACTGGTTGCATTCATTCCTCCAGGAGAAGTTCATGTTCTCACATATAGGATTAGGACACTTCCAGTCACCAGCTCGCTGCTGGCCGCCGCCACCACCACCTCCACTAGGGAATCCTCCCCGGCCACCGCCACCACTGCCACCACCTCCGTAGCCTCCACGGCCCACAGGTCCTCCTCGCCCTCGGCCTCCACGACCATTGCCACCGCCCCGATTGAAGTCTGCTCGCCGAGTAGCAAATGAGACCTTGATAGGATTCCCAGAGAATTCTTTACCATCAAACCAGTCAATAGCTGCTTTAGCAGATGGTGGGTCATCAAACAACACTGTTGCCTCTCCCTTCAGCTTGCCGGTTTCCCTGTCTGTGTACAGATTAATCATGGGCTGTCCTGTTTTCTTATTTGTCTTAATAATACCAATCTGCTTGAAGTAATCAGCCACAGACTCAATTGTAACATTTTCGCCCAAGCCCTGCACGAAGATGGTGTTGTTGTCTGAATTATCCTGTTCAGAGTCATGACGTGATCCTTGGTCCCGAGGGCCACCAAATTTATTGAAGCCACCACGGTCACTTCTCCCTGGGTGTTCTTTTGCCAGAGTTTCCTCCTCCAAAACTGCAGGGCTGATGACTGTCATGGCCTACCCCAGTGGGGCTTACCCATCCCTCAGTATAAAAGTGATCCCCTAAAGAGAAGATTTCCCTGATGGACTATAACACAACAGTAACAGAAATTATTTTATTGTACATGTTGCTCTACACATGGGAACTCATTCTTGATTTTACCACAACCACCAAAGACTGAGGGCCTACCTCTACCGAGTTCCCCTCATCTCCCTGTGGATTCTTCCCAAGTATCCCCCCCCCTTCCTTGTTCCCCTAATTCCTTCCCCTGCACCAGGGTGTCTGCCCAACCCTGCAATGTCTCTCCGTTTGAGAATTTCATTTCTTGATCCCCACTGCATAGTGAGACAGGGCCCAAGGTCTGTCCAAGTCTAGCATGGGAATCAATGACCAGATGACTCTGGATTCCAGGGACCACCAGGAGAAAAAATAAAAGTTAACACTGGTTTTAGACCCAAATATGCAATACCTCAAAGACCCATCAGACACACCTACCACCCGAAGGACAGCCTCTCCAAAGTCCCTGTGCACAGTAATTCCTCCATGTCTTCTGCCCTGGAAATAACCAGAGAAGTTTAGTTCCCACTTTCTTTCCCTATTGTGGCAGTTGTTCCCTGAAGGTCAAGGCCCCAGGGGGACCTAACTTGCCCCAACACCAGATAGAGAGTTCGAAGTAAAACTTCTGAACACACTGCACTGGCCATACCCTGGCAAGTACCCACAACTCACGGGCAGGGGGTGGGGGGGAGGAGTGTGAGGCACAGCCCTGCAAAAACTCACGTTGGGGCTTCTTGTCCTGTTTCCTTTCGGTCCCTCTTTGGGTGCCACTTGCCGCTTCCCAAGGGCGCAGGGGAGGAAAACGAAGCACAGGCGAGTCAGCAGTTATTTATTAGATACAAGACAACAACCAACAAAGAGGAAGAAGACATAGGTCACAAATCTTGTAGGTAAACAAGAAGAAGAGTAAGGTGTGCCTGGTCGAGCAGCTTGGAATTTGTAGGAGAGCAAGCGCACTTAAAGGGATTACCTTCGCAGCAGGCTTTCTCTGGGGCTAGGGAGACAACGGAAAAGGGAAGCAGACGACGGTATTCGGCCCTGAGCGGGCTGGGTGTTCCTGGCTGCCCGGCTTCAAGGACATGTACCATCCTCTCCCCCAGTGGCCCGCTGCTAGTACAGGTTTTTCTCAAGGTCATTTTTAAGCCCGCTTGCATGACCAATACAACTCCTCATTAGTTATATTTTAAGTAGCATATTATCCTGAGGGACGGTTACAATCCCAGGGTCCTGCGATTGAGCGATGGGATCAAGCCCTGAAATCAAGCCCCGAAGCGCCCGCACCCCCCCACCCCCCAACCCCGCACTGGACTCCCTCCTCAGCGGGGAGTCTGCTTCTCCCTGTGCCTCTGCCCTTTCTCCCTGCTCGTGATCTCACTCTCTCTCAATTAAATAAAATCTTTTAAAATACATAAATATCCGCATGTACATATTGATGTAAGTAAATAGATAGAAAAATGAATAGGGAAAATAGACAAATGTCCCATGCAGAAGTATCCCAAATTTATGTAGCTACTACACTAACTGTGGGCTACTCACTTCCCTACCCATGGAAATGGGATAAAAAGTGATTTTACAGTGGAGAAGCCTAACAAACACTGCCTCAGCCACCTGATCAAGATTCATATCAATAGAGATAAATAATGTAATAGTACATATTGTTAAGAAATAGAGTTCTGGGGCGCCTGGGTGGCTTAGCCCAGGGTTGAGTTTCGGACTCTTGATTTCAACTGGGGTCATGATCTCAGGGTTGTGGGATCCAGCCTTGAGTCCAGCTCTGCTCCTTCCCCCCCCCAGCTCCTGAGCTCGCTCGTGCTCTCTCTCTCTCTCTCTCTCTCTCTCTCAAGTAAATAAATAAATAAATAAATCTTTTTAAACAAGTAATACAATTCGACCGAATAAATTTGACGATCAAACTGTTTTTTTTTAAATGATTCCTGAGTCAGGCAGCATTCCAACCAATAAGCAGAGGGGCGTTCTGCTGGGCTAAATAAAAGAAGGGTTTTTTTTGCGTTTTTTAAGATTTACTTATTTGAGAGGGAGAGAGAGAGAGAGAGAGAGAAAGGGAACAGGGCTGGGCTGGGGCAGAGAGAGAGAGAGAATCCTAAGCCAACTCCACGCTCGACACGCTCGGCACCGAGACCCACGTGGTGCCGGACTCCAGCACGCTGAGATCAGGACCTGAGCCGAAACCAAGAGTCGGACGCTCAACCAACATACCATCCAGCTGACTCCAAAAGGAGGTTATTAAAGGCAAAGAGAAGACTTTAAGGAAAAAAGAAGAAAGAAAGACAAGACCAAGGTACTTATCAGCAGGGAATATGTTATTGAGGCAAGGTTGCCCTCCTAGGGTGAGAGGAAGGGGTGTACCAGTAAAGTCCCTAGTATTGACCAAGAAATTCCATGTTGACTGGTTAAAGGTTACATTTCTGGGGGGCTGAAACTGCAGTTTAGGTTAGGTATGAAGTTTTGGTTTACTTTCTTGGGGTTTAACCTAAATGATGCTATTTTGAGCCTGTGGTTTTCTTTTTAACAACTTCCATAATACAAAGTGATGAGAATGGTGCTTTACCTCCCAAAACCCATAACCCCTGATTGTGAGAAAAACATCAGACAAATCCCAGTTGAGGGACAGTCTACAAAGTCTGTGACCTCTACTCCTGAGAATTTTCAGGGTCATTAATAACAAGGGAAATCTGAGAGACTGTGACAATCAAGAAGAGCATAAGGAGAATATAACGGGATATTCTGGGTAGAATCCTGGAATAAGAAAAGGTCATTATGTAAAAAACTAAGGAAATCTGAACAAAATATGAACTTTAGTTAATAATAATGTATTCGTTCAATTATGACAAACATACCACTCTAATGTAAAATGCAAATTGTAGGGGAAACTGAATGCACGGTATATGGGAATCTTCTGTACTATCTTCTCAACTTTTCTATAAATCTAAATCTATTCTAATATAAAAAGTTTACATAAGGGCGCCTGAGTGGCTCAGTTGGTTAAGCTGCCTTCAGCTCAGGTCATGATCCCAGAGTACCGGGATTAGGTCCCCTTAGGCTCCCGGCTCCACGGGGAGTCTGCTTCTCCCTCTGACCTTGTCCTTGCTCATGCTCTCTCTCACTGTCTCTCTCTCAAATAAATAAATAAATAAATAAATAAAGTCTTTAAAAAAAAGTTTATGTAAAAAGTAAAAAAAAAAAAAGTCAAGCCAATTATAAAAGTGGACAAAACACTTGGAATCTCTTCACAAAAGAAGATTTCTTTAGGGCCAAGAGGTGTAAGAAAGAATTCTCAATATCATCCACCACTCCTTAGAAGCACAAATTTAAAATGCCCTGAAATACCATTGCATACCTATCAAAATGGCTAAAAAATTTTTTTTAAAGATTTTATTTATTCATTTGACAGGGATCACAAGTAGGCAGAGAGGCAGCAGAGAGAGAGGAAGGGAAGCAGGCTCCCCGCTGAGCAGAGAGCCCAACACGGCCAATCCCAGGGGCGCCTGGGTGGCACAGTCAGTTAAACAATGACTCGGTTTTGGCTCAGGTTGTGATCTCCAGGTTGTGATCTCAGGGTCGTGCGATCGAGCCCCATGTCGAACCCCACGCTGGCTCTGTGCTGGGCACAGAGTCTGCCTGGGATTCTCCCTCCTCTCCCTCTGCCATTCCCCGATGCACGGGCTCGCCCTCTCTCTCTCTCTCTCTCTCTCTCTAATAAATAAATAAATAAATAAATAAATAAATCTTTAAAAATATATATCAATATCCCATGAAATGAAATTCAACCTAGTAAATATGAAGATCTAATTGGCTTTTATAGGCCATCCATAAATCAGGCAGCATCCCATGTAGCAAGCAGAGATGCTCCAAGGAGACGCATTTTGAGCCTTAGAAGGTTTTTTGTTTTTGTTTTGTTTTCGTTTTTGTTTTTAAAAAGGAAGGTTTTAATAGGAAGGAGGGTAGGGCAAGGAAGCTATTAGCCAAAGAAAAAGTGGTTGAATATTTTTTAAGGACACAGAGAATACTATACATTCTTACCAATAAAATTTTTCTCTCTCTCTAGGGATAGAGGCCAAGCTATTCATTCAGGTATCTCACGAGTATGGTTTGTTCTGGCACAAATCAACAGTCAGTCAGGTTTGTAGAGTCAGACGATGGTTTCTTGCAGGGTAGGGGCAAAAAGATACGGTAAGCCTTGACCATTGGCAATGAGGGTCACAAGAAAAAATAATATGTTAACCCAGGGGCTACAATTTATTCCTGATAACAGGCCATTGTAAGAAGAACTTAGATAAAGTCAGTAAGGTATTTTGGCTACTATATGGGTTTCAGGCAGGATAGAGGAATGAACAAGTAAGAGATTCAGTCTGTACAGCAAATAACCTATGAAAGCAGTGAGTTTTTCAATATTACAGGGTTTTACCACCAACTAAGGAGTCTTATTTACTGTGTAATATTGCAACAAGAGTTAGCATACTTATTAGGACAAGTAACAGCCCCAATACCTCAATCCAACAGTCCTTCATGATTAATTCCCCAAAGAACCTGAAGGGTGTTCTCCAAGTTAAAATGCCAAGTATAAGCCCATTCGTGGAATTCTTCATTTCCTGCAGAGAGGTCCACAAGGAGTATAAGGACATGTTACAAATACTGCCATATTACTTCATAGAGAAATAGACAAAGGAGGTTCCCCAATAAAATGATTACGAACAGTGTTATAAAGAAAATTACAGGGGTGCCTGGGTGGCTCAGTGGGTTAAAGCCTCTGCCTTCAGCTCAGGTCATGATCCCAGAGTCCTGGGATCGAGCCCCGCATCAGGCTCTCTGCTCAGCAGGGAGCCTGCTTCCTCCTCTCTCTCTCTGCCTGCTTCTCTGTGATCTCTGCCTGTCAAATAAATAAGTAAAATCTTTACAAAGAAAAGAACAAGTTATTGGTTTAAAAAAATAAAAGATA